ATCAGAGCTCGGGCTGCAAATAAAGTCAAATGTCAACTGTGGTCTAATTAATATGACGTCTAGCTCTCAGCTCTTCCTTGCTGGAAGGCTCTCTCTTCTATCCCAGGGCTTTGTTTCTCGGTGCAAATCACAAGACGAGTCCACATCAGTAGGGAATGGCCACAGGTCATGTGAGCCAATCCTGGTTTTAAGAAATTCTAGGAGAGAAAGTTGGAGAGTCTATGCCGTTCGCATTCAGTGCTGGCAGGATTGTGACCTTAATTTCTTGCCTTCATAAAATAACCTAAGATCAGGTCCTGATGTCTGTCGTGGAGACACAAACTTGTTGTTAGAACCCTCCTTCTACTGTGTGCTCGCTGCCCCGTGGCAGCCTGAACATGGGCCAGCAGGTCAGATCTGGGGGGCCCGGCCGGGGGTCTTGTGTCCCCATGAGCAACATGTCACAGCGCCGATCATGGCAGGGAGGAGCAAGGGGCCCGCTCCCTCTCTCCCAGGAGACTTCTTGGTCTATCCACGAATCCTCTCGACCTCTAGCCCGCAACCCCAGTGCTCTGCGTAGCACATGACCAGATGTGAGCCTGGGTTGTTCTGTGTCAAGCCGAACACGTGCCTTCTTTCCCATGGAATCTGAGAATCTGGAATGAGAATCTAGAACCTTCTAACTGATCATTAATGGCAGTTATTGCGTGCTGAAGAGGGTTAGAAGGGAGAGTTCAAAGGAGAATGTTTCAACCACAGAGCCATCTCAGTGTCTTGGCAGGAGAAGAGCCAGTCTGCTCCTCATGCTTTAAAGACTTTTAAACAAGCTTAATTAAATATAAAAACGACCATGAATTTAAAAAAAAGAATCCAGAATCTCAGGCGGAAGGAGCATGGGGCACCCTGGCAGCCTGGCTTTGAACCTGACCCTGCCAGCACGGCCACATTGCAGAATCCAGATCCACGGACAGAAAAGGCGCGGTCCCAGGGACCTGGAGGAGACTGTCTTGACCAATAAAGCCCCGTCTGCTGTGTGTGTTCGTCCACAGTCCCACACCAGCCAGCTCTTACTCTCTGTCTTCTCTCTCCTTGGCCCCATCTTCCTCCCTTGCCAGGTCCCATGAGCTTGCCCTCCTGCCTCAAAATATGCTTCCTCAAAAGGACGGAGTCTAGCACTCAGCCCCACCTGCTTTGCTCACGGAGAACAGGTGTGAACAGTTATTCTGGTGGATAACTTCCTCCATCTCACCCGATTGGAGCCATAAGGAATGTGAGCTGTGGAAGTTAGGTCACTTTGGGCCAACAAAGGTTCACTGAGCTAGGAGCTAATTGCCAAGGAGAGAGGATGACACAGAGGCAGATTCTGGCTGGGTGTCACCAAGCAATGGGTATAAAAATGGGAGAATTCCGTCTCATCGCCTCTGAAGCACAATCCCGTCTAAAAGCACTTCCTCCCCTTTGGCGAGGCCGGGCCCTCAAGGGAGAGCGAGGGAGAGACCAAATCTATTTTCTGTGGATGGCTTTTCTGAGGTCAAGGGCAATCTGAAAAAAAGCAGATCCACAGGGCTGGGGAGAGAATAAGGCTTGGATCCAAAGCAACAGTCAAGGACACAAAATAAGTGAGACTCTTCAATTTCTAAGATCTCAGAATCACAGAATCTGTTAGATTCCGAGGATCATAGAATCACAGCCAAGAAAAGGACCCTGGCTCATGCAATGGGATTCCCTCTTTTTATAGATGGAAGGTGGGGGGAATCTGGCAGTTTCAGGGGCACCCACTACATTCCATAAAGCTGGGGGTCCACCCCATGGAAGACACTTCCTGTGGTGATGAGGTTACGGGGACCCCCTGCCAGCTAGAGCCCAACAGCCCAGTAATAGGGGGAGGAAGTGGTGTGTCTACACTGCACGAAGGGAGCAGCACTGGGTCCGCTGGTCTCCAGGCAGACTCACGTGGCCTCTCGACTTTCATCCTTGGCCACAGCAATGCTTCCTGGAGCCACCCCCAGCAGTTCCTTGGATACATCAACAAAACCTCCAGCTGAGAAAACACCACCCCAGCCGAACAAGAGGGCAAGTTCTGATGCCGGAGGGATTGACTCTGCTGGGGTTATGAAAAGATGTTCGGTGGGCATCTTTCCCAAGTCGCAAGTCTGGAGAGGTTAGCAGACATCCTGAAATGGATTCTTCTGTTGGAGAAGAGTGGGTGGCTCAGCCAGGGTCCTGCAGACTCATGGGGCACCCAAATCCCACTCCCCACCCCCACCTCGGAGGATCTGCTGCTTGGGAAACAAGTTACTTTGCAAAATGTTATCCAGATGGTCTATGGGCCAAATCAGCAGCAGCCAGCTCTTAGACCCCTGACCCTCTCGCAGAAGACAATAATCAGTTGACTTGTCTGAAAGTTTCCCCCACCTGCTATGGGGATCGTTTCTTTCTCTCTCCAACCTCGTGGCTCCTATGAGGATTTTCAGAAACAGCACATCGCTTTTGCTATGGTAGGAGGAATATGACCTGGGCTGGGGAATCAGACAATCATGTTCCTCTGACCACAGGGACAGTGGGACAGGAGACACAGGTTAACCCAGAGAGGTCTTCCCAAGGCACGTTCTTCCTGGATCGGGTGGCGAAAACGCTCTTACATCTATAATCCAGGAACCAGAAAGAAAGAATGGTAACAGGCTGTGTTCTCTCTATCATGGAAACAGCCCACCTATAATGGGACAGAATGAGGTTGGTACCCCAGGAGAAACTCAGAGTTTGGGGGAAAGGAGAGAGAGCACATGGGCACTGTAATGGGGTCCTGGTCTCACGACCTCTGGTTCCCGGAGCTGCCTGCACCCTGTAGATTTTCCTCTGATGCTGTGAGCTAGCCAGAAGCTCTAGAACACTCTCTCTGCAACCAACCCATTTCCCTGAAATCCAGAACAAACACACACACACATGTGCTTGTTATAATTATATCGTTTTCACGGAAACGATTTGGAAGCTCATATTGTATATGATACATTCAGGTACTTTCCACTCTGGGCCACGTCATTGTCTCTTCCCACTAGCTGAGACCCACAACACTGATTTCGTGACACACCAAACTGTTAGGACCTGCAGTATAAAAACAACCAAGCTGGGTCAGAAGCCCTCCATGGATCTGTTTTGGCCAAAGCTAGTTCAAGTTGGGTTTGTCACTTGCAACCCAAGAAAATGCTAACCAAATTCACCCCTGGCATGACTTTTGCTCCCAACCCCACCCCTGCCCAGGCTTCCACCAGGAGCTCAGTTTGCCAACTCATTTATTCATTCGTCCATGGAAAGAATCCACCTTGGGTTCTCACCCCAACTCTAGCCCGAGTGGCGCCAGATCTCAGGTAAGGTACTCCAGCCCACGTGCCTCAGTTTTAGCAACTACAAATTAGGCTATGTCCCCTGCCTCTTAGAAGGACCATGGGGATCCAATGAGACCCTGTGTGAAACTCTCCCAGACAGGGTTCTGCGGGTGACGGACGTTCTGCACGTGGCAGTTCCCATCCTCTACCCCCACGATCTCAAGCATCTTCGGTTTTAATTTGAATTTAGAGGAGAGGGACCACTCCTTCAAGAGGCTCGCAAATCTTCCACCAAAGTTGAGTCCTGTTGAAAATGGTGACGGTGGGGAGAGTCCTTGCTGACATTTTTTTCCCACTGTCAAGGTAAAAGCCTGTGATCCTTACGAAAGCCCTGGGAAGTGGGTGAGAAGATGCTGGAGGATTATTCGGACAGGCAGCAAGGGTCAGTAACCCAGGGGTCCCGGGGCCAAGTCCAGGGCCCCTCCCTCCCCTGTGACTGCTGCTTCCCTGCCCTGCTGTGGGCTGGACTCTGTTTCCAGGCAAAGCGCTGGGGGCAGGGATGGAACTTTGGCTACATTTGGCAAACTGTGCTCTCGGGCAGCGTTTACTCAAACTATCCTCAGTGCTGTAGCCAGGGAGAAGGGCAGTGATTCCTGGAATCCAAGGGTTTCAGGGTCAGAGTGTTCCCTGGGTGTTCTCCATCCATCACGATGGTCACCGCCCCAGCTAGGTTTCTGCAGTGTTGCTGCCAAAGGATCACAGGACACCTTTCGGGCTCATGAATGTCGGAGTTATGGTTTGGGATTATTATAACCACAGGCCTAAGTGGCCTGCTCTGAGCCACCCAGCCGGATTCAAGTGCACTGACTTCCCTGCCCCGGATCGGAGGAGCAGGTCAGTAGCTCGGCTGGGCCGCCAGCCCCAGCAGCTCGGGGAGGGAGGGCGCCCTCGTGTGCAGCTTGGGCCCCCGTCTAACTGGGGACCTCGGAGAGCAAAGAGCCCTGTGTCCTATGGGATAGCCACATAATGTCCAGGGACACAGTGGGCCGGTGTCATGGGTGGTAAAAGAATTTACCAAAGATAAAGAATGAACATAGAGAAGGAGTTTATTAGGCAACAGGGGGCCACACAGACTAGAGGTGCCTGTGCGAGCACCAAGGGCTGGTTATCGGGGCTTTTATAAAGTCGGGTCACAAGGTGCCAGACTGGCTTGTGCACAAGTCTCTGATTGGTTGCTGGTGAGGGAAGAAGATCAGGGTCCGTGAAGGGCGGTGGGGTTTATGACTGATGAGGTGGGCTGAAACAAGCCAGCCCGAGCTGCTGTGAGGTTAGACATTCCCTAGGGCTACTAGTTTGTTAGGCCAAACAAGCCCAGTAAAGAATGTACTTTATCTTTTGAGGAATCCTGGGCAGACATCTGACAGCCCAGGAATAGGCCTTTGTTGGACTTTGAAGGATGTCAGTTGGCCCCACACATCACATCTTCCATCTTCCCCATTTCTAAGCATACAGTGCGGTGGCATTAAGTACACTCACATTGTGGGTTCATCCACAGAACTCTCTTCATCTTGCAAAACTGAAACCGCCCTCAGTAAACAACAGCTTCCCTTCCCCTCCTCCCCAGCAGCCCCTGGTAACCAGCATTTCTACTTGTCTCTATGCGTCTGACCACCCGAGGGACCTCATGTTAAGTGGAATTGCACAGTATTCATCCTTTTGCAACTTGCTTAGTTCACTGAGTGTAGTGTTTCCAAGGTTCGTCCGTGTGGTAGCTCGTGTCAGAATTCCCTTCCGTTTTAAAAGTTGAACACTATTCAAATGTATGTATATATTGCAGTTTGTTTCTCCAAGTTCGTGTGCCTGATGTACATTGAGGCCAAACAAACTGAAACGCTGGAGCAGAGGAAGACTTATTGCAGGGCTGAGAAGGAGGACAGGGGGCTCGTGTTCAAAACCCCCAAACTCCCTGATGGTTTTCGGGGAAGAGTTTTATAGGCGCAGTTTGGTGGGAGGGCTGTGGGATTTGTGATCTTCCTCTGATTGGCTGGTGGGGCGGTAACAGGGTGATGTTCCAGGAATCTCAGTCATCAGCCTTCTGGTCCCAGCCAGTCTGGGCTCCACATGCTTGTGCTCAGCCTGAAGTCACCATCCTCCACCTGGGTGGGGGCCCAGCTCCTGTAGAACTCAGAGAGCTGTGTCAGACTGTGGTACAGGGACAGGAGGAGGAGCTGGGACCCTGCTTTATCGCCGCACGGTTGTTTCCTGACTGCTTGTCCCTTTGTTCTGCGTGCCCGCATTCCCTAGTTAGTGACTGTATGAATCTGCCTTTGGAACTCAGGGAAGGTCTAGGAGGCTGAAGCCTTTTTCCTACAAAAAACTGAGGACACGGAAAGGCTTTTGTACCAGGGAGGGCCCCGTAAGGTCCTGCTCTGTTTCAGTCCCCCGTTTTCTTTGATACTGCTCCATCTTGAGGAGGAACAGGTGCCGGCAAGAAAGGGAATAGAGTTCTGGCGAGAACGGTTATTCAGAAATTCAGCAGAGGATCTATTTGTGGGGGAACTCGGTTTCACGTGGACACTTGGGTTGCTTTCCACCTTTTGGCTGTTGTGAATCATGCTGCTATGAACATGGCTGTACAAATACCTCTGAGCGCCGGCTTTCAATTCTTTTGGGTATATTCCCAGAAGAGGAATTGCTGGATCGAATGTTAATTCTCTTTTCAGTTTTTTGTGGAGCCTCCATATTGTTCTCCACAGCAGCTGGACCATTTTACATTCCCACCAGCAATGCACAAGTGTTCTGATTTCTCCAAATCCTTGCCAACACTTATTTTGTCTATTTTAAAAATAATTGCTATTCTCATGGGTGTGCAGTGTTGGGGGCCAAGCCCTCCCCCTGCTCTTCCCCAGGAACTGAGACCCTAGAGACTGCCTCAGGCTGGGGAAGGATGCTATTTTGCACAAGCTGGTCCGGATGTCATTTCTTCCAATAACCAGAACACATGAGCCCAGAAACCAATGGGTGGGGTAGGAATGCCACTTCTTAAAATTATACCACATGCCCTCCAATTTTGTTTTCCCATTCCATGACTTGAGGTTCTAGAATGGTTAGCTTAGGATCCCCCACCGCCATGAAAAAAAAATAAACCTTCCACCAGCTCACCCAGTTCACCTAGTAATTATAAAATTGGGAGCTGAAAATGTCCACTGGCCTTTAAAAAAACAACACAGCTCCGTTGAGATAAATTCACATACCATACAATTAAAATGAACAAGTCAGTGGTGTTTAGTATAGTCACAGAGGTGAGCGATCATCACACTAATTCCAGAACATTGTCATCACCCTCTAAAAGAAACCCCACATCCATGAGCAGCCACTCCCCATTCCTCCTTCCCCCAGCCCCCAGCAGCCACCGATCCACTTTCTGTGTCTGCACATTTGCCTCTTCTAAACATTTCATACAGATGGAGTCACACACTGATGTGGGCCAAGGATGAGATGCAGTGGACACCTGTTGCTTTTCCTTGCCCCAAATCCTCTCTCTGCCTTTTCTGGGATCAGCACCCTTTTGTTTGAGTAACTGCCTCTCCTCCACCCTGTGTGGTTCTCATGGGCGTGCTAACCAACAAACCCCTTTATACCCACCACCCTGTTATGATTTGAATGATCGTATCCTGCCCCAAATTTGCATGTTGGAATCTTGCTGCTGATGTGAGGTCATTAGCAAGTGGGGCCTTAGGTTATTAGGTCACGAGGATGGAGCCCTCAGAAATGGGATTAGTGACCTTATAGAGGAGATCCCACAGGGCTCCCTGGCCCCTTCCACCAGGCAAGGACACAGTGAGAAGTCAGCCCTCACCAGAAGCTGACCACGCTGGCCACCTGACCTCAGACTTCAAGCCTCCAGAACTGTGAGCAAATGTTGTTTATAAGCCACTCAGTCTGTGGCATTTAGTTCTAGCAGCCCAAACGGACTACGACACACTCCAAAACACAGGGGTGGTCATGTGTCCTCAGCTGGGCCAATCAGATTCCTTGGCAGGAATCAGAAGTAGACGAGAGGGACAGATGGCCGAGTCACCTGAGGGAGCAGCCTCGGGAGTCGGCCCTGAGCTCCTGACAACGGCCAGGCTGCCTGCTTCCTGTCCTTTCCCAGCCCTGCTTGTTCAGCTGTGCCTTCCAAA